GCATTGTAATTAATTTCCTTTTTGTGTTAGGTTAGTGTAATTTATTTCAGTTCTAATTTAAAATTACTATATTTTTTCATATTTACAATGAAATATATATAAAAAATTATTTAGTAAATAATTACAGATAAAATGATATTTTTATATAACTCTATTAAATGTTTAATTTTTATATAAAAATATATTTAGTAAATAATTAATGATATCTTTAAGTTTCTCTCAAGACATAAACCTATTCACATTATAAGATATGTGCAAAGGAGAAGATCATCATCATTTCCAAAATCCTACTTCCTTAGATCATCGTCTTTTACAATGACATGTCACGTTTTCTGTTACATTGAGAAGGGATAGAAATGATGAATAAATTAATGTCTCTTCATCAATCGGTGGTTTTGATTCCAAAGAAATTAAGGCTTAAATTAATATAGTTTCATATTTTTGAATGGAGAGATGGTAGGGTCAAACTCATATTGCAAGTTCATGTGCATGCATCACACCCTGCATTATTATTATTATAACAAGTCTTAAGAGAAGGGCTAAGGCAAACTGTAAAGGGATGTTGGCTTTGAAATCCGCGATGTCCTTGTGTCGCTACCTTCTACGTTTTAATTGAGTTGATCAAGATTAAGAGTGAGTCCCACATAATTTAAATTCCATCTTTAAAACATTTACCAACAAATTATATGTGCTCATTACTATATAAATACGAGATATAATTAGAGTTAATTGTATCATATGTCTTTGAACTATGATCCTCATTTTAAATTAGTTCTTAGACTTTTAAATATTTTAATTTCATCCCCAAACTATGACTTTTATTTTAAATTAGTCCTTAAACTTTTTCATATTCTAGTTTAATCCTCAAACTATGGCCCTCATTCTAAATTGGTCCCTAAACTTTTGATTCTTTCAATTTTATCCCCAAAGTCATCTAAATATGTAATTAGTTTCAAGCATAGTTTAACCTAAATTTTATTTTTTTCAAGCACATAATAATATGACTTGTCTTAATGATCTTATTAACAAATGATGTGATTAGTATATACACATGGTTTAGATGAAATTGAAATGTTCAAAAAATTTGGGGACCAATTTAGAATGAAGGTCATAGTTTAATGATGAAAATAAAATGTTCTAAAGTTTGAGGACTAATTTAGAATGATAGTCATAACTTAGGGATGAAGTTAAAATGTTTAAAAGTTTAGAGACTAATTTAATGACATATGATGCAATTGGCTTGATATAATTATTCATATATATCAAATTAATGGTGGTGAGAATGAGTGTCATTCGTGTAAGACAATTGGAGTAATCGATAGGGATCGATTAAGGGAATAGTGGACGATAATCTTCTTAAAAATTTTAAATTATTTAGTTTAAATGTTATTTTTATATATTTTTATTAATAATATGTTTTTATCCCTAATAATTACACTCCAAACATAAAATCATATGTTTGGTATATGATAATTGAGATGTCTCCATCACCAGCATATCGGATAATAGAGAATTACGAACATAAATAACAAAATTGTTCAACATTTCTAATTAATAAATAAATGATTGTTTGTTGCGAGCATATGAAAAAAAAAATTAACAGGGCCAACAGCCAACCTCCATCTTGTAGGTACAATGTATCCTTCCATTCCTAAAACTATAACTCACAAGCCTTACCTTTCTCATCCTTTTTTCTAATATATCTCAACTGGACATAGTGGCTCCCATTGTTGCATGCAAATCAACTTCCACAATTTTAACATACTCCTCTAATCATTAACTTAGATCCCATCAATTATAAATAAATTTAAACGGAATCACCAACATAAAATACGATTGACTTATCAATCACTGCCTATAAGATGTATGCATTATCAATGATTAAAACAATTCAAAACAGATATTATCATATACTTACATATGCTATTAAAAAAACATATCCGAAAACAAATGCACCTAACTCTATTATTTAAAAATAGATAACACAGTTGGTGGGCTACGAGTTCAGTTCTATTTGTGTCTCGGGTCCCACTAAAATGGAATTGGATGAAATTATTTGGTTAATTATTAGTTATTTTCATTAGCAGCAGAAATAGTTGCAAACCTTAAACCCACCTCAGCTGTAATATTCTTCAATTTTAGTTTTAAAATGTTGCAATTTTGTGAACAATAAAATAATTATAAATCTTAAACTTTCAACTATAATTGAGACGATTAACTTTTCTTAATATATATTTTTTGGAATAATCGAAATAACCTACATTCTAAAATGATGGCGTAAATAGCTCATGAGGTAAATTGAAGAGGATAGATGCGGTTGATAGAAGTTGAGTGTTGTGACAATATGAAAGATTGGAGTTTTACACAGGGACGAATGCAAGACTAGGTGTTAGGAGGGGCAAATTTATAAAACTGAATTTATAAAATTTTAGTGGGCGAAAACATATTTTCAATATAAAATACAACTAAAATATCTAAAATACATAGAAATTTGAAACTTTTAGCTGAGACAACTGCTCCCACCCGCCCTCTCTAGATCCATCCCTAGTTGTAGTTAGTCGAAGCTGGGTGCTATGACAACGTGAAGAATTGGAGTTGGTAGATTCTAAAGGTACGACCTTTTAATGGTATTACCTTGTTACTTGACTGGAAATCAAAATATTGTTATAACCTTTAAAAACAAAGTTTTGAGAAGTGCAGTATTTTGTAAGATAAGCGTGTTTAGAGTTTATTTTTTAATCTTCTATTTTTATAAATTGAATACGTTTCTTTCAATCAAATTAAGTAGTTGAAATGCCACCTGAAATATCCAATAGAAAAGAAAAAGGTTCTTTCTTTATTTCATGAAAAATATGCCACTTAACCGCTACACGTCCATTAAAAATATTTACATGCGCATGTTAATTACATAATGTTTACGCTTTAAATAGGTTTTCATTTTGTTAAAAAATATCTATTAAAAAATATATATATTTTTAACTTTTTTGAAATTTACAAATTAACCGCCATAGAAAATAAGTCTAAAATCGCTATACTTTTTTAGCTTATTTTAAATAATATACATTTACATCTACAAATTGAACTAAACTTTTCATGCACTGCTATTAATTGATTTAATTTTTTTAACTCACAATATTTTAAATTAATTTAAATACACCCATGTTATCAATATTAATAAAAATATGGAAATCTAAAACTTTTAAGTGTTTTTTCTCTCTCGATTCCTCGAGGCAATCAATGTTTTACCTTGACTAATTCGGATCGATCCGTGCACTTGGTTTTGGTGAGTGAATCTCCTAATAGGAATTTTCTGTATACATAAGGTCTCAAACTTAAACCTACTGAAGCGATATCAAATTGCTTACTACTTGAACCAATATCGTCGGTTAAAGCTACCGTGTTTAAATGCTCATATGGTACAAAATTAAACAAACTTTGGATTGGACCAGACCCAGAAAAGGAATTCTTAATTTTTCTGTAAGTCTAACTCATATTAAATTGAGTTCATTCAGCCCAGCCCGCTCAAAATCGTAGAGAAATGGTGGCCGCCCATTATATCCTTAAGGATGCTTGATGAAGGAAAATGATGATCATGTTGGCCTGTCTATTTCGCTAAGAGTTTTCTTTTTTCTTTTAAGAAGGCTTAGCTAGAGGTATTTACGAACTAGATTGGATTCAATTTATATATGATATTTTTTTAATAGTCAGCGATAATTATAAGATAGTATACCTTAAGACACAATTGCTTGAATTTCGTCTAAAAAATTTAATTTTACCATTAAGACCACTTGATAGATATATTTGTTCAAGTTCGATCTAACTACATGTCAATCTAAAATATTGGCCCTAAATGATGTTTAAAATCATCTATATTTATAGATGGTTGTTCTAAACTCATTTAGGAATATAGATTTCTAAATATATTTTTATTTAATATTTGGTAAATTTATTAAAATTGTAAACATATTTATCTATATTATCATTAAGTACCTGGTTGAATTAAGGTTTTAACAACACTTATTCTATATAGGGTTTTAAAGTTTAAGATTTAAATTTAGGGTTTAAAGCTTATGATTGAAAACTTAAGGTTTTAAACACAACAACAAAACAGAGCTTTAGCGGCGTTTTTATTGTCCTATAGCGGCGTTTTTAAGCGCCGCTAAAAGTAATCGCGGCAATAGAAAAAACGGCGCAAGAAGCGCCGGTAATACCAGCGTCGCTAAAGTTAGCGGCGTTTGATAACAAAAAACGCCGCAAAAGGTCGAGATATATAGCGACATTTTTGAAACAAACGCCGCAAAAGGTCGAGATCTATAGCGGCGTTTTTGGATCAAACGCCGCAAAAGGTCGAGATCTATAGCGGCGTTTTGGAACAAACGCCGCTAAAAGTCGAGATTTATAGCGGCGTTTTTGGAACAAACGCCGCAAAAGGTCGAGAATTATAGCGGCGTTTTTTATACAAACGTCGTTAATTACCTTTCATTAGTTAATATTAATTGATTTTGCATATTTAATTTCTGCTCTACAACACCTAAATTTAATATCATTTAGCTTTATCTAATTAACAACCATAAATTTTAATTAAGACACAAACTTGAAATCCATAACAACAAACTTGAAATCCATAACAAGAAACTTGAAATCCATAATAATAAATCAAAGTTTAAATTACGTAAAATATAATGTAATTCAACATTGTTAACTAGAATAAACAATAATAACACCTAAGATGGGAAAGAACAATTTGTAGTCTATACCACACAAACAGACCATTTACAACCATCACTAGTAGTGAACTAGTGATAAAACTCAAAGTTCTCGTCATACAGAAAATGGGAAAGAAGAAATGTGTTATATTTGGAGGCTGCCCACTACTGTACTCCTCAAGCTTAATCTCTAATTCATGGCCTATCAACCCTGCCATGTCCTAGAACAGGAAGTTTGACAAAAGTTAGTTGAATCAAATTGTATAATTTACATAGTTAGTCGAAAGCCTAAAATTATCGGTCACAGAAAACCTAGGGACATTAAATAAACCATTCAAGTAGACAAATATGAGCACTTTGAAAGCAATGTTTAAAAGAAAGGAGAGCATAATTCATGGAACTGTTATGAACCTAGAAAAGGGTTGTACTTGTTCCTAATTAAGATAAACAACATATACAAAGGTTTGCTACCTTTGTTAATGGTGAACTTTCCACAAGAAGATAAAAGAAATCTTACAATTTTCTTGTTTTAATATAATATCAAATGAAAATTATGAAATACAAGCTACTTACCAAAATTAACTATAATTAATTATGATTATGAAAGATTAGGAAGTAAATAAAAAGTCAATGCTCATCACTTGAAACATCGATTTCCATCTAGATCTCGCTGAACCATTTTGTTATTGATGCACATATATTTATTAATAAGAGCGATGGACAGAATGTATACACACTCTCTTCTACGTTGAAATGCATATTTCTTTATTTTAATGAACCAGTACACTATAAAATACCTGAACAGTGGCTTTCAATGCAAAAGCTTTAAGTGTGAAAGGAAAGTAAGCAACAACCCTGCAAGTCAACAAAGAAATATAAGTTGAAAGGAAAACGTTATGATATTTTTATTCACAACTAATCAGTTGAAAAATGTCTTGACAACAATGAACAATATATATTTCGTTTATTAGATTGGTACAATAGTAAATCAAATGCAATGCATAAAGTAAACAAAAAAATAGATGCTAATGGAAGCGTAAAGAAATTACAGGAGGATTTCAATGTGACTTACATCACAAGTGGACCCCAAGGTCCAAGATCCTTGTCAACCCATAACAGAAAATCCTTCAGAATCTGCAAAGAAAACTTCTTTTCATCAACATAGAGGGAAAAACCAACTGGGTAATTGCACTAACAGATAATATTTGGAAAGCTAGGGAGAACTGAAATCCTTAAGAATTCATGACCCTACTTAATCTTGTATTCCTCATAAATCTTGGCTTATATTTACCCCAACTTTGCAATTGGTACCATCAAAACCATTACAACGATTACATGAAAAGCATGCACATCATGCAACTCGTGAACTCCATTGTCAAAAATCCCATCACTTTCAAAGTTCTCTAGAATACCCCATTAGAACATAATGCCAAGGGAATGCAAGTACAGTAGGGGAAGGGGATCATACGGGGCCTACATCCCTAGCTAACAAGTTGCCAACCTATGGAAGGATGCATGTAAGAGAACTTAATGTTACCCAAAGAAAAAGAAACTTCCTGCATCCACTTGGAAATATGGGAAAGCCAATAATTCAGCAGTGCAAAATAATGTTTAAAGGAATTTTAAATGGTTTCATGGTTAAAAACATATACCAAACTATAAAATTAGATAAAAAGAAAAAATTATATATATATAATTATAAAATTTAACTCACACTTCCTATTGTCTTCTGAACAACATTAACACGTTGGAAAGCCCTTTCAGCTTCCAAAGTCTGCACTCTAAGCTTCAGATCACCCTGTTCTTGTAATATGCAGCATTTTGCAACAGTTTAACACAATAACTATTTTAACCTTTCAAAATATATTATAGGAATCTCGAACCCTACCAATCTTTGGATGGTTTCAGCAACCTTCTCAACCCTATCTGCCTGCCCAAATAAGTTATAGAATGCACGGGGATGTCTGTCCCATGTCTGAAGTCCTGAAATATTTATATAGGTTATCATGAAAATGGAACTTTATCATGAAAAATACAATTAAATCTAGAATCGAAGATTAGAATATTACCTTCAAGGCAACTTCAACTCCAGCTTCCCGGAATCTTAACAACTCCAGTGCATAGCTAGAAGCAATAAAGTGCAATATAATCAGATCCTTCCACCGCTCCTGCTTGTCTCGCTTGATTAAAAATAGAGTCCACATCGTGATGCTTCGAAGGATCTCGAACCACCATCCCACTGCTCACCTAGATAAACAAACTAAAGAAGCAAAACAAAAAATCCTAACAAAAAATGAAGGCCACGGTAAAAGAGTTATACCTTTTTTCACCGCCGGTGAAATAATCCTGGCCTTCATCGGAATCGCTGTCGGACCCACCAGGAGGGGACCGGTTTAGATCGGCGAGGGTACGAACGCCACGAGCGTTGCTTCCGTCGCTACCAGACGGTTTCTTATCAGCGTTGCGGCGCGACCTAAGCGTATAAGGGGGGCGAGAAGGGCGGGCAGGAGAAGGGGAGCGGGACCTAGAAGGCGATTGCGAGGGAGAATAATCAGCGGAATCAGAGGGTGAGGAAGTCGGAGAGTTGTTAACGACGTCGGAGACGGGAGGCGTGATTGAGCGCGGTTGTTGTGCGGCGGTAGAATTGCTATCGAAGAAGGTGGAAACGGAGGCGTCCAGGTCCCACTGGTGGGATTCCAAAAAGAAGAGGGCTTCTTCTTTGGAAGAAGAAGTGATTTCTATGAAGGAGTTGATCAAAGCAGCGTTTTGATCGGCAGTTAGGTTACTGGGATTTCCTTGCTGCTGAGTTTCGTGTTCCATTGTTCAATTATTTTTCTGATAAAAATAGAAAGGACAAGCAAAAGTTGTTGAATGACCATTTCTTTACAAAGTAACATTACAGGTGTATTTATGTGGTTAATTATTTTTTTAATTACTTGTAAATTTCAATATTAATATATTATTTATCTTATGATTTTAATTTATTTAATTTATAGTAAAAGTATAATTTAGAACAATAACTATTATTTATCTAAAACTATGAATAGTTTTAATTGTAATAGAATTAAAATTTAAGATGAATGTAAGGTGTAATTTAATATTTATTAGGTTTTGTCTATTTAAATTTTATATTAATTGTCATATAATAATAAAAATTAAATTATAATGAAGTATAATTCAAAATGAATACGAGGTGTAATTTTATATATTTTATTGAAATTTATTTATTTATATTTAATTTTGATATAATTAATATTTTTTATTTTTAAATAAATAAAATAAAATATTATTATTATATATAAATTTAAATGTTATATTTTTAGATAGTATTTACTTTATCAATTAATATTATAAATCTCACTTGTATGTGAAAAAAATATGAAGAAATAACAAGAGAAAACGATAGCAGCAAGAAGGAGGAGAAGAAGAGTGATTCTGAGAGAGGAGCCCCAGGTGAAAGCCATTGACAACCTGTGATGCCAAGGCCTACACGCTTCGTCGTTGCTGTTAATATCAAAGATTTCAGGTTTAAAGGATGAACGAGCCCTCAGTCCTTCTACGGTTGCCAGATTTTGGGAAGTAAGAAGTAAATTGAAAGAGAAAAGTGGGTATCTGTCTGATTGCGTTTATTGCAAATTTCAATCGCTTTATTGGCGTTTTTCCCACAGATAAACCAATTGTTTCGCGTTGCTTAAAGTGAGATTGGCGAAGAAGCATCATATGGGTTTGAGTAAACGGCGGGAATGAAAAAATAGGTTAAGGGGGGAAAAATGAGAAAGGGTTAATGGTTAAACGCCAATAAAGTACTAGGTTTTAGCGGCGTTTGTCTAAAATCGTCACTAAAGTATGAGTATTTAGCGGCGTTTTTGAATAAAATGCCACTAAAGTATTAGGTTTTAGCGGCGTTTATTTAAAAACACAACGATATATATACCCTATTACGGAGTTTGTTTAAAAACGCCACTAAAGAACGATTCTATGGCGGCGTTTATCTAAAAATGCCACAATATATGTACCCTATTGCGGCGTTTGTTTAAAAACGCCACTAAAGTACTTATCTTTAGCGGCGCTTGTCGAATAAATGCCACTAAAGTACGAGTTTAAGCGGCGTTTGTTGAAAAACGCCGTTAATGTTATCATTTAGTGGCGTTTTGGATATAAACGTCGTTATATGTACAAATTTAGTGGCGTTTGCTTTGAAAACGCCGCGACAAACGCCGCTATATACTTGTTTTGCTGTAGTGAAATTTTAAGATTTAACAATTAAATAAATAGGATTTAGCATAATTTATGTTATCAAATAATGAGAAAATCGCCTCAGTGACCAAAAAAAAGTTATAATATACGATTTTAACCAACTTTTTTTGGATTTGCCAAAATGACCAACAAAATCGCAACGCGAAATAAAAATCGCAACGCGATCCCCAGAATCGCAAATCAGTTTCCAAAATCGCAACGCGATTCTTGAAAATCGCAATGCGATAGTACAAATTCGCATTGCGATTTTCCAAAATCGCAACGCGAATATGAAAATCGCAACGCGAACACATAAATCGCAACGCGTATCCGTAAATCGCAACGTGTATCCGTATATCGCAACGCGTATCCGTAAATCGCAACGATAATACATAAAATCGCAACGCGTATCCGTAAATCGCAACGCGATATTTAAAGCGCCATTATAATCGCTACGCGTATTTTATTTTCAAATTACAAAAACCAATATTAAGACAAAATCCCGTAATCGCAACTCATAACCTAAAACCTAAAATCACAACTCAGTCCCATCTCCATCTCTCACTCTCTACGGCGAAGAAATCCGTCCCCATCTCCGAAGATTTCCGTCCCCATCTCCGGCGAAATCCCTCACAACCATTCACGGTCAGAAATCCCTCACAATATTCAGAAATGGAAAATCAACCTCCGAGGGTTAGTTTTTTTAATTATTTTTATTTTGAAATGTTTGCATTATTGTAGGTTTTTCATATTGAAACTGATGATAAGTTTACTGGTCATTTCAATAATAGATTAACCATTTCACTTAGATTTCATTTCGCGTTACGATTCTGTCGTTGCGATTTTCATTTCGCGTTGCTATTCTCTCGTTGCGATTTTCAAGTTAGTATTTGTCTTTGTCTTTGTTCTGTCTTTTGGTTAAAGTAATGCAATCCATTCAAGTTTCAATTTGCAGAAGAGTCGCAACGAGATAAATGAAAATCGCAACGAGAGAATGACTGTCGCAACGAGAGAAATGAAAATCGCAACGAGAGATTCGCAACGCGAAATGAAAATCGCAACGAGAGAATCGCAACGCGAAACCAAAATCGCATTGCGATTTTCATTTCGCGTTGCGATTCTCTCGTTGCGATTTTCATTTCGCGTTGCGATTCTCTCGTTGCGATTTTCATTTCAACCAAAAGACAAAACAGTGTTGCAAATTTTAGTTTCAAGAATAAACTACTACTTTTTATGTTTATTGTTTTTGGTATATCTTCACAGTGTAGTTTTTGGTATATCTAACTTGGTATGTTTATTGTTTTGTAGAAATTTTTTTCGGCTCAATTGACCTTGAGAAATAAAGTCAGCCTGGCCACTACAATTGCTTCGAAGCTTTCACCTGCTCAAAGACAATTGTTTGAGGAAACCTGCTTCGAGCCATGGCTGAGAGTACAGCATCCGAGTGGAGATGCTAATTTGACCCATTTGTGGCTTCAGACCATGACATCAAATCTACCCGACAGTATACAACGTGGTGAGGAAGAGATATGGTTTCATTTTCCACCAGCGTATACTTGTTTTGGGCGGAAGGAGTTCTGCTTAATCACTGGTCTACGATTCGGACACGATGATGTAGGCCGGTACACTCGTCATATCGCCCGCCCATCATGGTTATCCCGGGTTTTTCCGGATGAGTCAATGGAGAAGCCGAACCTACATGTCGACGACCTGAAGAAATTGTTTAATAAGAAAGCTGGTTTCACTCGGATGGATGACGTCGATGTTGTCCGAGTATGCCTTCTACTACTTGTGTATGCCGGCTTTTTAGGCAGAGAGGCCAGACAACCTATTCATCGGGAGCTAATAATATTGGTAGAGGACCTGAATGCATGGAATCTGTTTCCGTGGGGTTCGTATATATGGAAAGCTACCTGGACTAAGTTGTCGTCTGCCTTTGATGACCGCAAAAGTTTGCGGGGCGATGGGTCCAAATACACTTTGTCAGGCTTTGTTTGGGCCTTTAAGGTAAGAATTTCTATATAATGTTTCTAAAATTATAATTAATTATTTAACAATTACTAATTTTGTTATTATATTGTTTGTAGATTTGGATATTCGAGGCTTTCCCCAGCATGCGTACATATGCAATAAAAACGTCAAATGATATTCCCAGGGCTATTTCCTGGAAGAGGAAAACTCTGTTGGATTGGGAAGACTTAATACCATATGCGACAATAAATAATGTAAGTTAACACAAATACTTTCATATAATATATAAACAAGTTATTAATAGTAGACGTTTAACTTTGTTTGAGTTTTTATATTTTAGGAGGCCAACATTCCATTACAAAGACTGACACCCACGGAGGAAGAGCTTGCCACTGATTGGTGGCAAGCTAGTCAGAGTTTTTTGATGGCACGGATGATGAGCAGCATCCACTTCCTCCAATTCGAGAGCCATCACCTCACCTAGAGCCATCACCCGATCGACCCGACTATACACCTCTAGAACGAGAGCCATCACCTATCCCGTCACATCATCGAGCCTCTTCTCCACCATCACCTCATGATAGGCGACCGGCAAAGATGCCACGACTCCTATCTCCCTGTTCTCCACCTCCACCTCAACGGGATGAGTCAAGGGAGTTACGTGATGAGGTCAATGCCTTGCGTGAGGAGATCGGTACTCTACGCGATAACGATGGTGCATGGCGTGTGGAGGTGTCAACTTTACGTGGTGAGGTTGCCGCTCTACGTGAGATGATAGTATCGTTGCAGAATGAGGTTCATACTCTACGCAACGAGGTAAGTTTAAGATTTTCCATATTTAACTTAATGATAAATTTACTCGTAATTTCACTTAGATTAGCCATTTCACTTAGATTGCTTAGTAAATTTATTCGGTTGCTGCCAATTCTGCTAAACTGTGTATTCTTTAACACTGTGAAATAGTATTTGTCTTTGTTTTGTCTTTTGGTTGAAAGTAAATTTGTTCGGTTGCTACCAATTCTGCTAAACTGTGTATTCTTTAACACTGTGAAATAGTATTTGTCTTTGTTTTGTCTTTTGGTTGAAAGTAAATTTGTTCGGTTGCTGCCAATTCTGCTAAACTGTGTATTCTTTAACACTGTGAAATAGTATTTGTCTTTGTTTTGTCTTTTGGTTGAAGTAATGCAATCCATTCAAGTTTCAATTTGCAGAAGAAGAAATAGTTTACTTTCGCAACACGAAACTTAAAATCGCAACGCGAAACCAAAATCGCAACGACAAGATCGCAACGCGAAACCAAAATCGCATTGCGATTTTCATTTCGCGTTGCGATTTTCATTTCGCATTGCGATTCTGTCGTTGCGATTTTCATTTCGCGTTGCGATTTTGGTTTCGCGTTGCGATTTTAAGTTTCGTGTTGCGAAAGTAAACTATTTCTTCTTCTGCAAATTGAAACTTGAATGGATTGCATTACTTCAACCAATAGACAAAACAAAGACAAATACTAACTTCAGGGTATTAGTTTGAAACATATTTTTCTTTGTTATCTGATGCATTTTGTGAACTATGATAGAATAATGACTTGGGTGAATACAATGCAAGTTTGAAACATATTTGTCTTTGTTTTCACTGT